CAGTTAGGGGAACCAGAGGGCGTGGCCTGCAGGGGGCGTAGCAAGGGGAGAGTCGGGGCAGGGCGCAGGGCGAGGGGGCGGGGCGAGGACTGAGGGGCGGGAAACCAAGAGAAGCCTCCGGCGCGTGGCGCACTGAGGTGAGAGAGTGAGGGAGGGGCGCTGTGGAGGGAGCGCCCTGAGGAGCGGGGCCTTGAAGGGAGGAGACCGTTGAGCTGGAGCGTCCCTCGAACTGAGCACCTCGTTAAAGTCCGGGAGAGGACCCTGAGGCAAGGGTTCTGAGGAGGACGCCTTGAGTCGGGGGAGGGGCGCTGAGCAGAGGTGGCTGACATTGGCGATAGGTCTTGGTCGCGAGGGTCGCAGATGGAGCCTTGGGTTAGAAGGTCGAATCCGGGCCCCTTTCCCCCCGCCGCCGCTACCCATGACTTCTCTTTCGCCTCCGGGTTTTCATGCCTGGCTTCAGAGTTTGGCCGTGCTCCCTCAGCGTTCCTAATTTCCCACTTTCTGACTCTCACCATTTGCCACTCTTGTCTGTGATTGAGATACCCAAGGCCCATTCAGGATGGAGAGTAATTTTTTTCTCTGTCTTAACTTGAAGTTTTAAATAGACCACAGACGCCAAGTATATTTTGGTTCGGCTTTTAAATAGAAGTCGCAGGCCAGCCTTCGTGCCAGCAGCGCCATCGCTGGCAGCGTCCTCCTCCTCCCCTCACGCGGAGACTGACTTGAGGAGAGTCAGGAAACATTTGAGAGAGCAGCTGCCGAGGTGGAGGCTGTGATGTATCTTGGATGAATCTCTGTGCAAACAGTTCTTTGGGTTCAAGACCTAGTACAGGGCGATCCTTTTTTGTTTTTTCTGTCTGAATCATTTTGCTGGAATAAATAGCAAAACATTCCCACAATAGCAGTTGGCATTTTTGTGTAGGACGCTCCCCCGCCCCCAACAGGTGGATAGTTTCAAGATCCAACAAATAACTGCCATTGTGCTTCCAAATCTGTTATTTTCGCCCAAACATAGCCGTCCCTGTTATATGGAAATGAATGCCCATTTGGGGAAGGAACTGGATAGTGATGAAAGGCTTTCACTCTGAGGCCTCACCTAAATAATTATGGGAACTTTTGAGCAACTCGTTAGGTGAAGACATCAACAGTCTACAGAAGAGCTGCAAAGAGCACAGCAAGATGATTTAGGGAAATATAACATATGTAGTTTGGTGTAGTGACAGCTGGGAGAGAGAAATGTTCATAATATTTGAAGGTTGTGTGCAGTACACTTAAAGAAACTAAAATGAGCTGGGTAATGACAAATTCATGAAGGGAGGAGAAAGATCTTATTTGGGTATCATATTGATGGTTAGAGACAACTTTTAAAATGTTTAAAACAACAACAAACTCTGGGGCAGTTCAAAAGTGCACATGAAGACCTTTCCACTCAAATCGGAACCAAAAAAAATTAGTCTTTGATATCATACAAAAACTCTGAATATCATGAAGGTGGCATTTCAAATCAGTGGAGAAATGATGAATTCAGTGAATAGTGTTAGAACAACTAGGTAACCATCTGGAAGAAAAATAAAATTGGAACCACACTTTACACATTATACCAAAATAAATTCCAGACAGATCAAAAAATTAAATCTGAACAATAAAATAATAAAAGTACTAGAAGAAAATATGGGACATTCAAAATTACTTTGTAATAAGGAACATCTTTTTAAGTATGATACAAAACTCAGAAGCCATGAAAGACTGATAATAAGTGGCTGGGTGCGGAGGCTCACGCCTGTAATCCCAGCACTTTGGGAGTCCAAGGCA